GGGAGATTTTTTCCGGGGGAGATTTCTTCCGGGGGAGATTTTTTCCGGGGGAGATTTTTTCCGGGGAGATTTTCCCGGGAACTTATTTCCGGGGAGGATTTTTCCAGGGAGATTTCTTCCTGGAACCTCTCTCTCCCCCCCCTCTCTCCCTCTTTCTCCCTCTCCCTATCTCTCATTCTTTTGTATTTAGTTGCCCCTTTAAAAGAATCCTGTAGCGAAGGCCGAACTTTCTCGATGTTGATAATCTTAACATTTCTAATTCCGTTCAAATTAATTTTCTATGTTACTGGCCTATATCTGTCCTTGTCTAACGAGATATTTATACGATATATCTGTCCTTGTCTGATTGCTGCACCATCTCTCGCTACACGTAATACTGCTTATCCTATCAACCTGCATGTGCCTCTGCTTAATAAAACTTTATTAGAAAAAAATCTTTTTTTCTAGGCTTTGAATCTTAGTTTTATTTGCACGATATTGTTCCTACATGTTGTCCGTAGTGCAATTGGGTATTATTTTGTATATATAAACTGAAGTATTTTTGTTTAAGCAAAGAATATTGTCGTCAGGTGACAGCAGTAAATTTTTAATTTTTTTTTGTTTCTGATATGAAATCGTGTGTCCTGCACTAGATTTTTGTGCGTACTTTAATTCTGTAAAAGAGTTTTGCAATTCTGTAAAGCCAATTCAAAGATTTCTTTTAATAAAGAAATGTCGGTATAACTACTGCCACTATAGGATCCCCTTGATTATGTATACATTTGTATGTAAGGGAACTCATTTTACATACACATATATAGGATTTAGGAACACGATTTCATTTATTCTAGTCACAACATATCCGCAAATTTTAAACGAAACATTCAAAGATTTTCTCCTTCATAAAAATATTATTTGTTCCGTTTTTTACAAGCTCTTCTCCTGAATGTTTAACCCATGGTTGAAAACGGCAACTGTAAACAGTCAGTTTTTCTATTTTATAGCAAATCGATATCGATATCGATATCGAAAGAGAGAGAGAGAAAAAGAGAGAGAGAGGTTCAATATTTACAGGATTACTTAACGTACTGGGATGAAAAAGCGAGTTTCCAAATTAAGCCGCAGATCAGCAAATCAGTAACGAAACCTCATTTCCGCTTAATTTCATCTTCCAATGTCGATAATCAAAAAGTTGCTGATGATAGCAATGCCTCAGAGAGACTCAATCTCCGATTCAAAGAATTTTATGATTTGGACATTTCGTACAACATAAAAGCACGGAGATAAAATTCAATTGATCATGAAATACGGGAATTTTAAATTAAATCTTTACAAAAAAAAAGACCAATAGATCACATAGACATATAGAGCATCTTTTAAGAAATAAAATAAAATAAAATAAAATAAATTTTGTTTTTATGAAATAAAACACGAATGAAAGTGTTATTTATACTGTATCAAAAATAAGTTTATTAAAGCATATTACAGAACTTCAATTTTATAAAATCAAACAGTCTATATTGAAATTCAGGGATTATTTACAAAGGCCTATCTGCCTTTGTATTACTAATAAATTATACACTAATATTAAGCACGTTCAACATATTTGTTTCATTCTGCTTATTTGTAAGAACGGAAATGGATATGTAAAATTAAATCAAACAATTTAAAAATTACAAAAATTTGCCATAATATAATTGTGCAGTATAAATTTATATCTCTTTTTC